TTTCTTTCTTTCTTTCTTTCTTTCCCCTCTCTTTTGATCTCCCAAAGATCCATAAACACCGTTCTGAAAAGAGTGGCCAAAATTGGTGAAAAATCAACCCAGGAATGCTGATATGTTGTTTCCAGTTTTGTTTTGGAGGAGTAGTGCAATCCTCTGTGGGTCAAGGGGATGAATATGGCCCTTGCACCTGGCACAATCACCCACTCCTATCTTAGCTGGTGGTGGTGTCATCCAATGTTAGTCCATCACAACCAGAACCATTGAAATTAATGGGAATTAAGTTACAAATGACTTACAAATTTCATCCATTTCAATGGATCTACTGTAGGTGGAACCCATTTTGGATTCTACCCTAACTATTTTTAGAGTTCAGGAGCAACACTTTACTTATCTGGAAAGCTGGGGCAGAGGAAAATCACAGTACCAAAGCAGTAAGTGGGAGTTAAGTTACATTGTTGGTATAAAATACAATGTTACCTAGTTATTCCTTTAAGTTACTTTTGTTGTTGTTATGTGTCTTCAAAAGGACCCTGACTTATGCCAATCCTCTCAAAAAAATCTTGTCAAGATTTGTTCAGAGGAGATTTGACATTGACTTCTAAGGCTGAGAGAGTATTACTTGCCCAAGACCACTCAGTGGGTTTCTATGGATAAGTGGGGATTTAAACTCTGGTCTCCTAGATCTCTCAAACAAATACTCCATGCTGGCTATCAAAATTCCCTTTAAGTACATTTTAGTATTTTAGAGTCTTTTTGACATGGGTTTTTCAAGTTTTATGTACAGTAATTCTCTTATCACTCCCAAGGTTTGGGAGGTGTTAAGTAAAAAAAAGAAAGAGAAGTTTAAAAGAGTTAAAAGGAATATCATCCTTTCCCTTACCTATTGATGAACCATCAACCAAATAGTTTTCACTGGGACTTGATCTGCCTAACAAAGCCATAGCTTATACAGCCACAACCTCCTGTGTGATGTCCTGATGGTTTTTTAAGAAAACCAATTAGGTGAAGTTATACATCAAGCAATTTGAAGCACTACAATGAAGTATGAAAATACTTCTGTCCCTCATTTGAAATAGCTAACAAAACAAAACAAAAGATCACTGGAGATACACTTTTGGAAAATGTTCTGTAAGGAGCAAAAGAAAAAAGGTTCCCCCTACATACACACCTATCTCACTAGGTACCTGTCATTTGTTATGGAAGAAGCAGTTTGCGGTGTGAATTAAAAACAGATCACTGAACCATGCTAAGAGGAAAGAATGAGATCAGCAAAACAAGAACAGTGACTCATCCCCTTGGTTGACAAAGAGTGACAAATTGTTCTTAGGACTACTGGGGAAGGAAGAAGGAGTGGAAATGCAGGCATTTCAAGAAATTAGATTAGGAATGGGCAGCAGCTCTCACCCAGTATGAATCAGTCCCATGGTTTTTCTCCATTGCCTACCAGGTAGATCACAAAAAAAATATTTATAGATTCTCCTAGAGCAGGGGTAGGCAACCTTTTTGAGCTGGGGGCCGGGTT